TCACTTCATAAAATGTGCTACATAGTAGAGGTAGGCTTTAATACCTGTAAGGAACGGGAGAAAAACAATGTGGGCTAAAAGTGTTAGAGGCGGCTGTAAGGAGAAAAGTGGAAAGGTATTACTATACTAGCCAGTCATCCAGAATTGAAATCAATCCTGAGAAAGAGATTTAAGTTTTTGGTTAAAAGAAATAGTTAATGAGCAGCTACTACAAATTCACTTGCCTAGCAGATTTTGTAAATGGTGAAAACTACTTTTAATTGAATGTAAAAACAATAGGTATTGATTACAAATTAATACTACATGGAAATGTTTGGTTATTGGAATTTCTTTGGGGAGCGCCTGGGTGGCTCAGTTGTTGGGCGTCTGCCTTTGGCTCAGGTTATGATCCCAGAGTCCTGGGATGGAGCCCCACCATTGGGCTCCCTGCTAAGCAGGAAGCCTGCTGCTCCCTCTCCCCTGCTTGTGTTCCCCCTCTCACTGCCTCTCTCTCTGTCAAATAAATAAATAAAATCTTTTTTAAAAAAATTAAATAAATTTAAAAAAAATAGAATTTCTTTGGGAGGATAGGAGTTGGGGGATGGGTGACACCCAAAAGAAAATATAAGCACTGGATTATTAAGAGTTAGTTGCCTTGGTTCAGAAAAGGCCAATTTCAAGTATTACACATTTTCCATTTACTTACCACATACTCCATTTGACTTTGTTTTCTCAATCTCCTCAAATTCTATTCATTTACTATTCTACTCAAATAACACATGGTTACTATTATAAGCAAGACAGAACTGCATCAAAATATTAATTACACTAATCTATCCTAGAAACAATGAGACAAATGAAATCGATGCTTAAATTCCAAAAATTGTAAACTGTCATGAGTTTTTATTCTTCATCCCAAATGTCTTAGAATTTATCACAGTAAGTCTTCAGAGAAGGTAAAAAAAAAAATGAGAGTTCAGTTCAATCCTAAATAAATCTCTCTTTTGCTCTAAAAATATACAGCTACTCTCTTCTAGAAAATAATTTAGAAACTCACAATGCTTCCTTAATCAACATATTAAGGACTAAAGTTACTTTTTAACTTTTTAACTTTCATCCTTTTCTACTAAGATTCCAAAAATACCTCCCCTTACTTTTCAAAGATATATCATTACTTTTACTTTAAAGGAAAACACTGATTAACTAGGGAATGAAGTTCTCCCTCCATCCACAATTGGCAGCTTAAATGGTTCCTGTGGCTTTTCTTACAGAGATACTGACATTAAAATAATGCAGTTGTGCCTCAAAACATTAATTTCCGAATCTCACCAAGAGTAGGTGACCCTCTTCACCCAAATTTAAGGCTGAAGCTCTCCACAGGATTTTAAGAAAGGCCTCACAAGGGCCATCACTTTATTTATAAATCCAATTATTTAACTTATTTCCCTGAAGCTATAAAATACAGACCTCCATTCTGAGTCTACCTACTCACTAAAACTAAATTCAAGCTTTAAATAAATAAATAAATAAATTCAAACTTCAACACTACCTGCATAGACCTTTAACTTCCATTTTATTTAAAATGTAGCATTTCTCCTTCAGCAAATGACTCTGTACTCTGCAAATAGGAATTATACTAATAAATTCTCTCCCTTTCCCAAATACACACAAAAGCTGATGAAATCTATCTATTGACCTGCCTATCTCAGAGAGATGGCTAAAATAAACCACAAGCTGATGTTGAAACTGCTCCAAAACTGAGCTTAAATGAGGTTCACTCATCCTTTTGAGATTATGGTATGAAAAACTATAAAGACTTCCTTTCCTGAGAAAATACCAGCAATTGATTAAAGATAAAAGTACTTATTAGCTCCTTATTATACTTCACAATTTACACATTACACTTACTAATCAATATCCACATGCTAATAGTACCCATCCTCACTTAAAATAAACCTACTTCAGTAAATAATAGGGCAAAAAAAGCTAGTATCATCACTAAAAGCATTTATAGAATTTACGTGTTTTAATACTGTGCTAGATTTTACACACAAAACAGCATTAACTACAATGAAACTGAAACTTGAAACTATCACTGTGGACTTTACAATTTAACATTAAGATTGTTCTTGTAAAATAATTACTTTAATTATTCTAGCCAGTGATTAATCTTAACAGAGAGTCCAAAGGACAGAGGAAGATTCCTGAAGCAGTTTTGGGCGAAATGAAATTTATGAGATATTCACATAAAAATGATGTTGCAAGGAGTTCCACTTCCACCTTAGATGTAAAAGGTCTGAAAAAGTGTTACTTCTAACCTATAAACCAGAAAAAGCCAAATAAACTATCATATTACAACATTTCTTGAGCCTATCAGAGGCAATCAAGTAGCCTGACATCCCAGGAAGGACAGATTCCTCCAAAACACGGGATGCATGAACTGCCTCTCCAATAGCGGAACACAGCAAGAAGATGCAGCTGCTATGCACACGAGTAAGAAAAAAATCAACTAAAATTTTAACAAATCTATTTTCTGTTTCTATAGATTGGCTATTTTGACCATTTCATACAAATGGGATAAAAAAAAAATGGGTCTTTTGTGTTTAGCTTCTTTGACTTAGCATGTTTTGCAGGTTCTTCCATGCACATATCAGAAAACTTCATTCCTTTTTATTAACAAATAATATTCCATTGTGTGGATTCTACATTTTGTTCAGCCGATGGACATTTGACTTGCACAATGAAAACTAAAGAACATTAAAAAAATTAAAAATCTAAATGTAAAAACTTCCTAATTTCTTAAGTCAGAAGCCTTAAAATATTGTTAAAGTGGTAATAATCCCCACACCAATCTACAGATTCAATACAATCCTATCAAAATCCCAGATGCCTTTTTTGCATAAATTGACAAGATAATCCTAAAATTTATATGTGAATACAAGGGACCTAGAATAGACACAACAACTTGAAAAAGAAGATCAAAGTTAGAAGAATAACATGTTTTGGGGGCACCCTGGTGGCTCGGTCAGTTAAGCATGTGACTTTGGCTCAGGTCATGATCTCAGGGTCCTGGGATTGAGCCCCGCATCGGGCTCCCTGCTCAGCAGGGAGTCTGGCTTGTCCCTCTGCTCCTCTGCCTACTCATGCTCACGCTCTCGCTCTCTCTTTCTCTCAAATAAAAAAATAAAATCTTAAAAAAAAAGGAATAACATGTTTTGACTTCAAATTTTTTACAAAACCAGAGTAATCAAGACAATGTGATACTGATGCAAGGAGACACAGATTATCAATGGAACAGAACTGAGAATCCAAAAATAAAACTATGTTTATGGCCAACTGACTTTCAACAATTTTAACATCAGTGACAAGAAAATTCAATGGGGAAAGAACAGTCTTTTTGACAAATGGTTCTACAACAACTGGAGAACTACTTGCAAAAGAATGAAGTTGGACTCCTTATCCCACACACAAAATTAATACAAAATAGATGAAACCTAAATTTAAAAGCTAAAACTCTTAGAGGAAAGCAGAAGAGTAAATCTTTATGACCTTGGGTTAGGCAATGATTTCTTTTCCTTTTTTTTGGCAATGATTTCTTAGATACAATACCTAAAACACAATGATAAAAGGAAAAACAGGTAAATTGGACTTCACCAAAATTTTAAGTTTTGTGTTTCAAAGGGTACCACCAAAAGAAAGTAAAAAGAAAACTTACAGAATGGGAGGGTATATTTGCAAATATGTATCTTATAAGGCACTTGTATCTAGAATACATAGAGAACTCTTACAACTCAATGTACACATGTAAATCTTTATATATGGCCCAAAGAGACAAGTGAGATAGTCTGAATTAATTTATTCCCAGTACCATGAACTACATTGAGTCTGACAGTTTTGACTTTAAGAAAGGAGGTGAAGGGAGAGAAAGGCTGAAGACAGTATATATTTGAATTTGGAATATTTTAATTATTATGGACTCAGAGGACCCTTCCTCAACTGCCAACTTATAGTATCTCATAAATTTGCTAGTTATATACTAAAATAAAATAAATTCCAAAATTTTATATATAAGCATTTAAGATAAAAAGACTGAAAGAAATAGGAAGATGAACTCACAATGAAACAGAAAATCCAATAAATAGTATTAAGGAAAAAAGTTAACTCTGTCATAAATCCGAAACAATGGCAGAGGTACGTAATTTTACAAAAAAAAAAAACAAAAAACCACATTTAAGAAAATTAATGCAACATATACCCCCACAAAAAAAGATAAAAATTAAAAATGTAAACCGTATATTACATTAACCACAGGTTCAAAAGCACACAACCCATGTTAGAAACAGAAACGGTGACTAATTAAGAATGGTGAATTACAGTTCTTTGTAATATAATAAGCTTAAAATTCCTATAATTTTCAGTGTTTTATTAACATTTTCAGTGTTCTATTCTCATTTCACATTTGGAATGACATAATGCATATCTGTGTATGAAGCTATAAAATAGTTAACTTACTATTTTTAGAAAGGGTAGATTTGTATCAACTTAGGACATTTTATCTCTACCTAAAATTTTTAGTAGAAATTAAGTAAGTCTTTACAGGTTCCAATAAGCTAGTGTTTCATTTACTACATTTAATTTTATAGAATTAATTTAATTCGGTTTTGCTATATGGAAAGGTTTTCTTTAACACGAAATTTGTAAAACATACTCCCAACATAAAATGTATACATCAGAGTAATGAAGTTTATAAGAATAAGAAGTCAGTCATACAAATGGTCCCATGGTTACAGTCAGTGGCTATTAAAGCTCAGAAGAATAAAAGCAGCAAACTGCAGATCTGTGTTACTCCCATTTGGCCTCTAAAAACACAGCCATATTGACATCTAAAATAAGACCTATTTACTGACTCAGCAAGAAAAATAACTGTAGGGAAGATTACACATGTTAAGACCAGAAAGCTCCTCAAGAATTCAGGCTGGTGGATAACCATCTCAAAGGAAAACCTAGAATATAAAGATTACCTCAGCAACTTTGGGAGGCACTCCATCCCCAAGCACTTCCCTGATGAAGCAGTGCTGGCCCATATAGTATGAGAGCCCACAGGTCCTCTTAAAGGCATCTTTCAGTCGTTTCAGCTCTACATCCGTAACTGCAATTCAGAAATTGAAGAGGGTAAGAAACCAGAAGAGAAAAGAAGTCTCTCAAAATCTTCATTTTTTAAAAATAAGTGTTGGCAAGTATGTGGAGAAAGGGAACCCTTGTGCATTGTTGGTGGGAATGTAAATTGGTGCAGCCACAATGGGACATTTTGGAGGTTCCTCAAAAAATTAAAAACAGAAATACCATATGATTCAGCAATCTACTTCTGAGTATTTCCCCCACACACACACACTTCTGGGTATTTATCCAAAGAAAACAAAAACACTAATTTCAAAAGACAGATGCACCCCTATGTTCACTGAAGCATTATGTACAATAGCCAAATTATGGAAGCAACCTAAGTGTCCATTAATAAATAAATGGGTATAGGGCACCTGGATGGCTCAGTTACATGGCTAACTCTTGATTTAGGCTCAGGTCATGATCTCGGGGTCCTGAGATCAAGCCCCGTGTCAGGCTCCATGCTCAGTGTGGAATCTGCTTGAGATTTTCTCTCTCCGTTTCTCCCCCCAGTCACGCTCGCTTGTGTGCGCTTTTGCTCGCTCTCTCAAAATAAATAAATAAAATCTTTAAAAAATAATGGATAAAGATAAGGTATATATATATACACATACATATATATGTGTGT